CGCTTTTCGTCTTCCCGTCGACGGAATCATTTAGGCAAAATATTATTTCACGCGCCATCACCAAATACAGTTACAATACAGTTACATCACAATATTTCGAGAATATAATCTGTGAACATTTGTAATGAGGAGTGAATGTAAATAAAATAATAGTTACGACGTAATGACGTAACTATTAAGCGGATTCTAAAGTCTGTTCTATTTTATCGAACCGATTAATTTTCCGGCACGCTAATTTCCTAATTACATTTGCAGATTTAAAAATCCTTTTCCACAATTAAAGTATACGGACCTATATATAAGTCATACCGGTGGACTTTATACCGAGAACGAAAAAAATTTAAGAAATTTCGATCTTTTTTACCGACTCTTAGGCCAATATGAAGTCAAGAGCTATCAACATATGCGAATATTTGTGTTCTATATAAAAATTTGTAGACAGCCTGTTTGTACCTAAAATAAGACCGATAGAAAGTGCGAATTACATGCAGGAACAATGTAGAGTTTTTACAATTAGGCTTGAAAACATGATATAAAAGATTAGCGTGCCTGAAAATTTGTTCATATGAATATCATGTGTGTACAGAAATGTATGTATGAGTGTATGTGCGTACACATAAATGTATCAATGTATGTTTAGATGTGCATGTGTGTAAACGTTTTCGTCGGAGTTCGCTCGTCAGTTTAGCATCCCCTTAAACACGATAATTAAAAATAAATTTTTTCTGCTGTAAAGTCAGACAAGATATAAATATTTTTTATTAATGAAACAAATAATGAATTAATGTAATATTTATGAGTCTTTAATTTTTTTCAGATTCAAGATAGGCAGTTATCTTGAATTAATGTGTATAAATTATAAAAAAGAAGAAGAAATTATTAAGCGCCTAAGATCCTGCTTGCTTAATAATGTCATTTTATCTGTTTACTTTTTTCTAACTTTTTGCAACCAGAGAACAAACAGAAAGAGGCTCTTTAATCATTTGATTTAATCTATACAATTACATTTACAATTATCACGACACCTATAATCAATAACACACAATACATGCGCAATAAATGCTTGTACATGCGGAAAATACACAGAATTAATAATAACAATCCCTTGCTAAATATGTACAAAGTCCGATCAAGTAATCATACACATGTTGGGTCGTACGTATACATATTTTGCCATCCTAAAATAGTAATGTTGGAAAAAGTTGTTTATACGGGTTTTATGAAATCACATAGAAAAAAGCGCAAAATTACAACATCACGTGTATATCACTTAGATTGTGATTATTTATCATCTGTCTGCGTAATTGAGTCTGCGTTATTTAGTTTTTATATATTTTCAGATATTTTGATATTTTTAATGTAATAATATAAGAGGCTAATTGGAAAGTTGCTGACAGCACATTGTTATTATTTTGAGTGGACAGAATGTAATGATTTAAATATTACTTTACTTTAATTTGTTATCTTTATTAGCATATAATAGAAAAAGAAGAAAGCACATTTATACATCTGTAAAAAGGATATAAAAAAGTCGAAAATTTAGTTAATTTATTATGTAGTTTAATGATGCATGTGATTAAACATGCATAAAAAATTTCAGCACAGATGGTAATTTCCGTACAAGGAATTTATGTAAAATTTTTCAGTTATTAATATTAAAAGTATATTTAATAATATTATAATTTAATAACATTATATAATTTATATAATTTATATAATTTAATAATATTATAATTATAATTATAAAATATCTTGATTATTATGCAACTTAAAATAGCTATTTTAAAATATATATATATATTACACATTAGTCACTCGAATTGTTGATCCATTTTTATATTTATTTTTACACATTTATGTAAGGAAATTCCTATGTCGCGAAATATAATATTAATAAACGAAATTATTAAAATTATTATAAATTTATTCTTATATAAACTATTTATTATTTTTAAGTAAAAAAATTATATAAATTAAATTTAAAGAGAGACACGTGCTGCTTATGTTTTGTAGACATGCGATAAACTTTATTTTAATAGCATATGAGCTTATAGCATATGAAAAAATATAAAAAAAAAAATTTTACGTAACTTGCCCAGTCACAGTTTTAAGTTTCAAAACGACAACAGCGGCCTTTGCAATCTCTTATAATGATAATACTCCCTTCTCATGAATGCTTCACTATGATTATTTAAGTTTTGAATGCTATAAAAGAATTTTTTCTTATATTATTTCTTATATTATGTTTCATATCACTCAAAGAAAGATTTCTTTTCTTTCTCTTCCTTCTCTTTTATCGAGGTTTCACCGATCACCACATGTATCGAATTTTTACCGTTTACTCACGCTACGTGCACAATGTCAACTATCTTGATCCTTCGCGATAAAAATTACATTTGGTGTTATATAAAACTACTACACAGAATCTTGTTGCTTTTTTCTTCGTATTATTAAGATAAGCAATTAAGATAAGCAAT